AAGTATAAAATCTTTAGACTTGTATTCAATATTTCTATAGATACAACCTAAAATCCTATTTACCCTACCACGATAAACAGCACACTGCTTGGATGGCTTTAAAGACTGATCAAATATTACACCAATATCCCTTTTCTTCATAACACTGTTAAGATAATTCTCACCAAAATTATAATTCAAATTATGATAACCCACATGCATTATTTTGCATTTATTATAATTAAAACCCATGTGCCATTTATTTGCCCAATTCATTAGATGATCTAAATCCTTTCGTAAATCAGCAGCATCCTCTTCACAGCTAGCAACACCAAAGACCTTAATATAATCTGCAAATTTAAGTAATTTATTGATTATTCCTTCATCTATGTCATTGATGTAAATCAAAAAGAGAAAAGGTCTTAACACTGAGCCCTGAGCTACCCCACTTATAACATTAATCCAGTTTGACTGAACTCCATTTGTAACAACCCTCTTCTTTCTTCCATCCGATTTGCTAACTTACCCCCACATAAAAGGTGTAGAAAACATCTTTGGCAGTTTTCACTGTACTTTTAAGTGTAAAAACTCCTAAATTACTCTGTTTTTATTTCTCCAATTGTCTTTTAACCTGGCCTTTCGCCAACATTATTTTTCTATTTATGAAATTTCTGTGTAGGTTATTCGGTAAAAAAAAAAATGTACTCCATTCTATACTTGTTTTTAAACTTATAGTAATTTTTCTTTTTGCCTAACAACTTATCCCATCTGCTGTTTTTATTTTTTCCTCTTCTTATTTACCATTTGTACATGATCATGGACTTCTCTCTCTCCCTGTCTACGGAGAAAGATTAAGTACAATATCACATCACTCTTACTGGTTCCTATAGAACTTAAATTTTTCTATGTAAACACTTAGCGCCTACTAATACGCATGTGTTTCTTTCAGATTGAGTTTTTAAATTCTGTGATTGTCGATATGCAGCGGAAGAATGATGAGCTGAAATCAAGGATAGAGATCTTGGAGAGTGGAGAAAGCTTTGATAGTGGGGATTTAAATTTGTAAGTTCACTTATGGCTGATATATATGTAACTCCCTCAACTGATGTAGAGTGTAGTTGTATGCGGGACACTTTACACCAGTAATTCAGTGATTGTAAGATTACTTTATAAATATGTTACAATTAAGCAAAACAATGCTATTTTTATAGGTTTTTAGTTATTTTTCATTGAATATATCTGATAATATTCTAAGTGCAATGTCCTGTCTCTTATTCCTTGTCACATTCTGAAGTCAAAATTACTAGATTCTAAACCATTTCCTGAAGTTTAGTAGTATTACACCCCAGTTTTTTTATGTGCATGTAGCTAACTCAAGAAAGAAATGAATATATATTTCTGGTATCTGAATACAATTTAATTATTTTTCTTGATTTATCAACTCTAGCTAGTAACAAGTGTTATATTAATTAGTCTTAGTTTTAATTACATTTAGTTATAATACACAGTATACAACCTAAAGACAAATTTTGACAGAATTTTAGGGCCCTCCCTTCTCCTCCAACCACACACACACATGAAATTCTCAGCTGATGTAAATATTTCCTTCAATTTTATAGGTCTCAACATTAGATATGTATTTCTCTGTTTTCAAAAGTAATACATAAACTAATACTTAAGTTTCATAGGTTTTTACATAAGATATAAAGCTCAACCTAATTGAATTTACTGTTACTTTTTGTTGTCAAATTTTAAGCAATTTCTGATGTATTATTTATGTAAGGCAATTTTATTTGTGCATATACAGATCTGAATTAAGTATATTATAAACATATCAAATTGGGACAAACAAGTTTGTCAGAGTACTGTAAAGACAAATTCTTTTTAACACTAGAATGTTTTGTGTGTGTAATTTAGAATTTACTTGCAAGAAATTTGTCACGAGTTTTCACTGAGATGTGCACATCAGTAACTTACTAGTTTCATTCAAGGTGTTTGGCTTGTTTTACGAGTTTTCACTGAGATGTGCACATCAGTAACTTATTAGTTTCATTCAAGGTGTTTGGCTTGTTTTACGAGTTTTCACTGAGATGTGCACATCAGTAACTTACTAGTTTCATTCAAGGTGTTTGGCTTGTTTTATGGCTTTAGAATATGGAATATAATTTAATTCTTGCATAATTTCATTTTTCTGCTTAATTTCTTGCGTGTTAGGAATGGAGTTAAAACAGTCCTTGCTCCACGTCTGTTCTGTGATATATGTGAAATGTTTGACCTCCACGACACAGAAGATTGTCCACAGCAAGCAGCAGAAGAGGAAGAATTCCAACACACTCATCATCATGGCAAGAGACTGCAAGAACGGCCTTATTGTGATAGTTGTGGAGTGTTTGGACATTGGTCTGCAGAATGTGATGATAATGAAACCTTTTAGTTTGGAGTTAGTAGTGTCTCTCTGTCTACTGGCATGAAGTGTTTTATGCCTTTTGATAATTTTAGCTTGTCAGCTGTCTGTGTCTATGTGATATATGAATTGTACTAAACAAATGAGAATTTTTCAGTAGGTGTATGAAGAAAAAATCAAGCATTTGATTTAAAGAACATAATAATATATTTGAAAGGTTTACCTCGAGTTCTCTACAATAGTGGCTGTGAAGGTTAATACCGAAACTAGGACTGATAACCAGATTGGTAATCTAACGAAAACTTACTAGACACGTTTTGGCTTGTTCTTAAGTTGTCTTAAGACTTGTTATGATAGTAATATATACATACAGGTGTAAAAGTATTTGAAATAAAAGATAATTAAAACTTTTACAACAAGGAAAATGTGATTAAGAACCAATAAAATACTTTCTTGCTCTTCTCTGTATCTGTATAAGTTATATTGATGTTTATTATTATTAAACATCTGTAATACTCAGTTATTCTCTTTATTCTTATCATATGGACAAAAGACTGCCATCGAAAAGTAAACAGTGGTACTTGAAAGTGAGGCTTGGCTGCACACTTTGTCCTTCCATACACCGTGTGGTGTTTGTTAATTGCTCAGAAACAGGAATTCTGTAGTCTTTTCAGGATAACGTGGATACTTACTATGAGTGTGATTTAACTTGTATATTGCATGTATTCATTTGGTGCTTGTAGGAATAATAAAAACTAATGCAAATACCTTTATTTTTAAATCTGTAATGCTAGATTCTATAAATACATGTTGTTTGAATGCTAGTATTTAATGGCTTCTGAGGTAAAAAGTCGTTGCTTGATTGTTAGTATTTAAAGGCTTCTGTGGTGAACTCTCATTGTTGCATTATTGTTAGTATGTAAAATGCTCCTGTGGTGAACTCTCATATTGTTGCATTATTGTTAGTATGTAAAATGCTTCTGTGGTGAACACACATTGTTGTATGATTGTTAGTATTTAAATAAACTTATTGGTAGAAACTATCCAGTCATAAACTGCTTACTTGTGCAGGCTTTCATCTTTAAATGTATAGAATTTACATGAAATACAAGTACAGAAGATGCTACATGCAGTTTAATAAAACATGCAGTCTTTCTTTTATAGTATTCTATATTCAAATTATTTTACATTGCCTAACCACAAGGTAGCAGAGATCTAGTTTTAGGTTGAAAAAGAAGATTGAAGATAATTATTCTGATTTGGTAGCTTCTGAATAAAATTCTTAAAGACTTTTCTTAAGTATTGGCTTTAAGAATCTGAGATTAAGACAAGAATCTTTATATAGAAAAATCTGACTTGTTTGCTGATCTTAAATTATTAAAGTTACAAAATTTATGTTAAAACATTATCTGTTTAAAATCATAACAGAATATAAAGAATAAAATTTCATTTGTGAATGATCTTTAAAGAAAAAGTTTTTATTCTCTCATTAATACAAAACTGTTTTCACTTTTTTTTTAATCTCTATCTTGTATTTACATTTCTGAATATAAAACCAACTTGTGGAACCAGTCAGAGAAGATCTGCTCTTCCTTATCATTTGTTAAGTCTTGTAGCATCTCGAGCAAATGTGTAAAGAAGTAAAAATACAACGGGCAAAAATCTGCTCTTCCTTTTCACTTGTTTAATCTTGTAGCATCATAAACTAATGCTTAAATTGTTGTAAACATCTTAAATGTTTTGAAAATTCGCCAAGAAGTTTTAAGGATAATAGCAGCAAGTATGGTTCCCCTAATTCTATGTAACAAAGAATCCACTTAACTGGAAAGCTATACACTGATACAGAACAATTACCTTGTATTCTAGACTTTGAGAATTGTGTTATAGTTGGAGATTGCACTAGTCTTGAAACATAGTAGTCATGGAAGACCATGTAGTTGTTAGTGTTTAAGTTAAACTACTTTAATTAATTAGGCAACTTGTAGCTAATAACATTTTTAAAATAAATGCTTGAAATTATTTAATTATATAAAAACTTGAGTAATTAGAAAAGTTAAAGGTGATACTTTTTTAATAATAACAATCATGGTTGGTGACAGTGAATTTTCTTGATAACTCCAACATGTATACTTATTACAACAGAAGCCTATGTTGGTTTGTAGTTTCTTCAGACATTGATACTGTAGGTACCATGTTGTAATAGCAGTAATGAGAAAACACTAGGATGATTTCAATGTTGATTTTGGTGCTGTCACAACATGCAACTGAGAAAATACAACAGTAAACGGTGATAATCATGAGGACATAGAAGTCAAGGAGAATATTGATATTAGGCCTATAGAACAGCTTTTTTAACTTGAACACATCTTAACAGATATTGGTAAAAGATCTGAAAATGAGATATTAGAACTAGAATTACTTTAGAATGTAGCTGGTCTTCATGTCGTAACCCTGTAAAATGTAGTATTTAAGAAATTGTTGTATATCTAAGATATAAGGTATTGGTCTCTTTGGAAGAAGGTCCACTTTTGACAACTAAATTACAGTGATATGAAAATCTTTCCACCATCAACATTATTGCTTTTGATATTTTATATGGAATGTTTTTGTTGTTAGAAATTTCTGTATTATCTAATTACTATATGTATTATTTAAAGAGTAAAAGTGTGTGTCAGTGCAGCTTGTAAAAATATTTATAACTTGGTTGATTCATATTTTGCAGAGTTTGGGAATTGTTAACCCACACTTGAAGATAACTTAATATTTGAGTAATTTAACTAGATATACCACCTTAACATTTTTAAAACGGGTTTATTATCCACATTTATTACAAAATGTTTATTTTTTATTTTCTAAACAAATGGTTGTATGCTTTTTAATTGAGCTGTTATGGAATTCTCATATAGCTGTAAACAATGTAAAATATTAAGATGAGGAAGGTAACATGAAATTGTAGGTTTTGTTTCATTCAAAGAACAGGTTTCCAAGGTGTACAATATGTTGATGTGTCAAACAAGAGTTTAACTTTACAATACTAATAGACTAACATGAAACTGAAAAATAAGTTAAGTATTAACTTCTAATTATTGGTATATTGATACAAAAAAATGATACTCTAGTTTTTCAGTTGCTAATTATATTTTTTGTATAGCTTTGTCATTATTAAATATTTTTTAATTGGGGTGTTATTTTTTTTTGTTGACATTTGTTTTGCTTGAATTCCAGAAGAATTAGTAATGTTTATAAGGAATTGAACTATGAAAGAACAGAAGAACTTATCTTACTGTAAAGATTTGGCAGTTCTGAATAAAATTAGAATTATTCTGATGTGAGCATAAGTGTTTTGAGGAAATATTATTTGAACAGACAAACTTACAGTTATTTATGATGGGGAAACTGAAGTTTAATAATGAAGATGAAGACGGTTGATAAAACATTTTATTTACATGGTTCAAATGTTTTGGAGTAACACAATTTTCAGATTTTGCTGAAGATGGAATAAGTGCGGTAAGGTTTAGCCCAAACTGAACTAAAACAAAAAACGTACACAAGTTACAGTGTTAATTTATCTCTTTATCGAATAAAGGCCTAACTAATATTAAGACCAAGACAAGTGGGCTTATAGATTTCAGTGTCTGTGATTAGAATTCTTTTGTATTATTCTAAAAATCCTGTATTAAAAGAAGTACTGTTGCAATAAAGATACTAATTTGGCCGCAAATATTTTTGCGGGTCTCTGCTACTTTAATAACATGAAACAAAGAGTGAAAATTATTAGTGATACAGAGGAAGTATGGATTATTTAAAGCCATTTTCATGCAACGCAACAGAGACCAAATAAAATATCTCAAGCACGATGTATGAACCTGAAAATTAACGCTGGAGTTCGTAACTTATCATAAGGTATTTTAGTTTTAATCACACTGTTAATTATTAACAATAATTGAGTGAATACGAAGCAACAATAAAATTTTCCCTGTACGTATCAAACTTGTAGCTACGCAGCAATCGAATTGCTGACAATGGAAAAATAGAACAATAAAATGTTGCTTTCACGTAGTTTTGTTGTAGTAAAAAAGACGTGTAAGTGTTTAACTAAATTTATTCATTTTCAAATGTGTATTACAAACATGAAGGTGTCTCTAGGTCACAATCTCGGTGAACTAAAAATTTAAATTTGTGGTACTTAGGTTTATAGTTTTAGAATTAGAAAGTTTGCTCGCATTCTTTGAATAAAATCTTTTTTTATGCAATTGATCAAACTATCATAAATGGGATATTTTTCATTTGTGCGTTGTTTTTTTTATCGAGAGAGAGTTTTTAGAAAATATAACATGAAACTTAAAGTAGGGATAACGATAAAGGAAGCGAGTTTTTCATATGTCGTCATTTTGACGATTCTTTAGCATAATAGATGACGATATTGAAGAATTACACGAGAGTTTAACTCAAACATGATTAATAATCACTTTTGAATGGTATTTGTTTCGTATTCTCCTTAATTATTTACAGCGGGATGTCTGCGGACTTACAACGCTAGAAT